GTATGTTTTACTTGTTAGGGGAGGTTTTTTTTGATGTGGGCGGGTTAGAAACCCCCCCCCCGGTCCCTACTTCTCAGGTGCGCTTGTTTGCGACCAACGTACAACAGTAAGTAGTACAGTGACGATGAAGAAAAACTGCGGACCAGGCGCCCGTTGAGATAAAAAGTGTGTGTGGATCTATGTTATGAGCAGCATCGACGGCGCTTGTGCATGTCCGTGTGCGTGTGATTGTGCGTGTTTTTTCGACGCGTTGGAAAAAACGTTGTTCGGTCAGCCGGTAGGCATGGGTCTGCCCGAACGCACACACGGCAGCACCCCCGCCAACGAATCAAAAAGTCGAAAACGACGACAACAACCGAGCAAAAGGGGGGCATCATTGCAGGAGCCTGCTACATACACCCAAAGTTCTGAAAAAATCGTGCCCATCTCCAGAACGTGTCCGTTCCCATCCCCGAACACAGGTGGAGTTCCAGCGGCAGCTGCGGGCGGGCCGGACCATCGCCCAGGCCCGGCGGCGGCCGGAGGAAGACGACGAGGCCTGCGGCGGCGGCGGCGCCTGCTGCTTCCGGCTCGGGCTGTCTCGGCGGACCTCGGCCGCTCTCGCGCTCGCGTACAGCCTGGTGGACGCCGCCTGGTGCGCCGCCTTCGCCGTGGCCGTGTTGGTGGCGGCGTGGGCCATCGCGGTGGAGGCGGACGGCACGGTGCGTGTCATTCACACTGCGGTGCCCCCGTTGATGTGTAGGGATTAGTACGGTCTTGTCTTGCTTAATTTAAACGGTGGGCGTCCAGTCGCGACAGTCCAGAGATGAAAAGAGTCTTGTCGTGGTCGGTGCATCGGATTCACGGTAAAACAAAACATGCCCAATGGTGCTTCGTATACATGCATCTATCTCCCGGTATTTTTTTCCCCCCCCATGAAGGTGGCACCCGAGTGGCGGGGCATGCACGCCGCCCTGACCGCGGCGGTCGTCTTGAGCGGGGTCGCGTCGGGCGTCAGGGTGCTAGCGGCGATCGCGATCGGGGCCTACCTGAGGGTGAGCGCATTTTTGGGATGAAGCTATCTAGCGCCGTTTTGGTAACTTCCTTTTGCCTGAGGGCTACATTAGAAGCCATATGTATTTTTGCGTACATATGCCCCGACACACTCCTTCACTTTTTTTATGGCTCTTAATATACAACACAACGATCTCCACCTCTATGTATTCATAGAAAAGCATCTAGGATAAGATTTTTCAACAGCGGTGAGAAGTGCTGCTCTTTCTTGTCGAATATTCAAGGTTCCATTCATTAGAAGAGAGCCACCACGGTTCGACCGTTGCAACTGCACAGTTTTATATCTGCGTGCCCCCTGCCAGGCACGTGGGAGGGGGCAGGGGGGGAGAGCGGGGTGCCGGGTCGCAGAAAGGCCTTCTGGTACGTTTGCGTCTGTGCTGCCCTTGTTCAGGCTGTTGCTGTGCCATTGTTTTGGAGCTTTGTTGGACATGGTCCTTCAGGTGATTAATCCTCTTGTTTTTTTCCTGGTACATCCACGCCACTTTTTTGTTCGCAACCCCGTCGTTCCGTTTGGAAACGTAATCAGACTAAGTGTCGGCATGTGATGCTTCAGCACACGACAAAAAAAATAGCGGCCAGCAATACATTGGAGACTTTTATCTATCGGATCCTGTGCAAGTCCAGTATCTCCGCTTTCGAAAGACAGGCAACCCATTGACCACGTCCCCTCCTTTCCCTCGCCGCCAGTCCCGATCGCGCCTGGTGTACGTGCTCCGCAACACGGACGAGCCCCCCTGGCACTACACCATGCCGCCGAAGATGCAGCGGCTGGCCATCCGGCAGGCGACGCTGCTGTTCGCCGGGTCCTGCCTGCTCGTGGCGATCGGCGCGGGGAGCTACATCCTCTGCTTGACAGTCGACACCGAAAGTGAGTGTGGTGGTGGTGTTAGGAGGCGTTTGGCGGGAGTGAGTGTGTGCCATAAGTAGGGCACACGCCGTGGTGGTGTCGGTGGTGTTGGTGGTGATAAGCGTTGTGGTGGGCATGTGGGTGGGAGTGAGCGTGGTGCGCCTTCAAGTAGAGCACCCGCCGTGGGTTTTAGTCGTTTTGCGGAGACGTTTTGACGGCGGGCATGTGGATGCCCCCCCCCGACGGGTAAAGTAACCGCGTAACGGTGGCGGACAAAGAAGGCGTTCGTGTTCATCTTTCCGAAGACGAGGTTTAGTGTCCTCGGTTCCAACGCGCTTTGTTTCTGAAAAACTTGTCGGCGGCTTCCCTCTTTGCTGTGTGCTTCTGGTATTGTTCTTGCTTGTTGCCCTTCTAGTGGCCGCTGCCACGGCCATCGCCGCTGGTGGCGCCCACGCCGTAACGTTGCCGACAGCCCTACCTCTCTTGCTCATCCTTTTTGTCGAAGCGCTTCTCCTCGATGAGCGGACAGAACCGAAGAAACGGCGCGGCTGCAACCTCCCCCTTTTCACCCCCCTCCCTTCCGTTCATGTACCGAAAGCAGGTGCCGAACACTACGACCACTGCGACCCGCTCGACACCACCCTCTGCGCCCTGCCCTTCCCATCCTCCTTTTTCTTGGAGGAGGATGTGTCAGAATCGTCATCATCGGCGATGGCGGCGAGAGGGACGGGGTACAGGGTGTCCTTCGGGCCCAAGAGCTTGCCGTACACCCGGGGACGGATAAACGTGTCCCCTGATTCGGTTAACGCCTACGACGGTTTCTCGACGCTCGCACCCATCTTGTTTTACCTCGAGGTGGGTGAAGAGGACGGGGGTACGTAGTCAAAGGGAGATTGCTCTGTTGTCTGCGGCCCATCGAGATTCCAAGCATGCACTGCCCCCTCTACCATGGGACAGACGGGTCGTGCTGTTCGCGGGCGTCAAACAAGAAGGACGAAGGGTTTATCCCGAGGGGCGTCGAAGCCATATCGTCTCGGAATCGTGTGGCTTTCGGTCCTCAATTTCCGAAGAACGCTGAGGATACGGGTGCCGAAAAAGAAAACATCTCTAGCTATGTTGTTACGCGTGACGAACAAACCTCTGCAAGAGAGTGGTGGAGATTGGGCCGCGTTTGTCACCCACACCCCCGGTCTTGTCCCAGAGCAAGCAATACCGAGCGGCACCATCGCCCTCCGATAAACCTTGTCCCACCCTTTACAACATCGTCGTCCCTTATGTTAGGTTTCATTGGTGCTGTCCGATGACCAGCTTTCCCAAATTTGAAGCTATTTGTGATTGGTCAGTCGGTCGGTCCGGCCGAAGCTCTCCCTTTTTTCGGGGACTGCCACGCCGAATAGCAGCTTCCCCGAAATCTACGAGATGTTGTGCCGGTCAAGCCGCATCTAAACGACCCTAATTTCCCGGGTGGCGTCGAAAAATGCTGACAGGGAATGTCGGCGAGCGGCTTCGCCGGTCCCGGGGACATCGGGGCCTCCCTGCACGCCAACTCCACCACCTGGCTCATCGACGCCGACACGGGCGGGATGGTCCCACACTTCGCCGAGGTTATTGTACTATTTGTCGTTCGGTTTTATGGTTCATCTTTGGTTTTGTTTTTTTTGCAGGCTGCGCCTTGTGCTTGTGCGAGTGTGCCTGCAACGCACTCACCTGTTTGAACTGGAAAAGACGTGGTGGGTTGTCAGGAGTTTTCGTCTCTGGTGAGACACCCCGGATTTTTAGCAGCCCTTGGGAATCTCGTGCCGAAAGTGGCTCTCCACCCTGCGATACGCGAAACATTCAATCTTTATTTTTTTTGCTTTGGCTCTCTAGCACCCAACCAACAATTTAGCACCCAACATTTTCCGTTTTTTTGCTTGCCTCGCTAACCCCCTTTACCACCGAACACCAAACACCGAAAAAAACAACAACGCAATCGTCCACAGTTGGACGCCCTGGACCCTGAGAAACCGCTGGCTATGCTTCAGCCCGCGGCTCCTCTGCGCCACGGGACGCGGTACATCGTGGCGGTGTGTGGGGCGCTGGGCGACTGGGGGGAGCTTCTCCCGCCAACCCCTGGTTTCCAAGAGCTCGTGGAGGTGTGTCCCGCGTTGTGGTGGTGTTCGGGAATTTGGGACGATGTGCCGTTTGGCAGTGTGTATGTCGTTGGGCTTCTCTCCGGTCACACATGTCTCTGGCATGATAAATTTTGTTCGGGGGGGGGGGGGGGGTGTACTCATAGTCGTGCATGCCGTAGTCGTTA